CCTGCGTTCGTGCGGCCTGGTGTCGGCGTAGAGTAGAAGCAGAGCAGTACATTGCTAGAATATGCCTAAAATCATGAAATCTGTGGGCTTTGGGTGGGGGGGGTAGCATATATATATATATATAATATATATATCCGTATCTTGCACACGCCCTCGGGCGAGCTCGTGCGCACATGGGTTTTGACATGTTTTAACCGTGTTTAGCCACCCTTGCAAAACCCCGATGCCTACCCTACTCTTCCTGCAATAGGTGGGGGTTTTTGAACGGCATCCATATGGCAGCTGTTCATCATTGGGCAAGGCCAGATTTCCGAAACCCTTCAGCTTGGGATTTAGAAGTTTCGAACATTGTGATCTGCTCCTGGGCAACCCTAACCGGCAAGCCAGAGTGCCGCGGCACTTTTCAGTTTTCAGAAGCCTTGGACCGTCTGCGCCGGAGCTGCAGCAACTGAATCCTGGAAAAAAACATGGAAAGACTGCTAAATGCATCTAAATGGGACAGCCTCACGTACGGTTGGGATACTGAGGCACACAAATCTACGAACGACTGACGATTCCCTGAGGCACTCAGGTTCAAGCCAAGGCAGGGCTTGCCGCTTTTCAGAATTCAGAACTCATTCTCAGAGTCTGAGCAGTTGTGTTCACGCACAGCGCCGTCGTGCGTATGGCCAGCATGACGATGACCATCCTCATCCTCGAAGCTTCCCAGATCCAAGCCCAATGCTTCGGCACAGTTACAACAGTAGCGGCCCTCGTTGTGATATGGGGTACCGCAATCTCCACAGACGCACACAAGCTCCCCGCAACGCTCGCCACAGCCGCAGGAGCACAAGTTCTGGCAGAGTCGTGTGCCCATGCGTTTGGCACGGGCCATAAAGTTGAGTTTGTGGGCAATAGTCATCATCGGACGCAGGTGCAGCGAAAGCTGGTAGGCAAACACATCCAGGACTTTGTCCTGGAAATTTACCGATACATCACCCTCAGCTGGATTCTCTGCAGGGCCAACCACTTGTCCAAGCCCTTCCTCGTGATGATTCACAAAAGCTCCCACCTCTCTGCGTCGTGACACCGTGTCAACAGGTAGCGTGTTGCAAGCCCAGCAGGACGTCTCGTCTGCATTTCTGCCAATCCACTCTGACCGACCCCGGACACCGCGAACATCCACCCATTCGCCATCGCACTTGGTCGTGAACTTGTGGCGGAGACCTTCCGGTTCGGCAGTGAATATGCATTTGATCCGTCCGCAGCCTCCGGCAATCTCCAAAAGCCGATAGACTGCAAGACGACGATTGTTCAGCGCATAGAAACAGCCATCAGCCAGTATGACTCGAATCGGATCAACCTCCCTTTTGCGCTTCCGTGTGGTAAGCTCATCAAGCAAGACACTGAGAGTCCTGCCGTCACGGAACTTGAAGCCAACGGAGTTTTGTGTAAATCTAATCTCAGATGGTCGAAGGAAGACCGCGTCACCAATCTGGTACTGTGTGCAACGCCGCCAGACCCAGGCTTCATCGACATGGGATTTCGTGATCTGCTGGCCGCCCTCTGCAAGCCAACACCTTCCATCTCGGCTTTCGCCTTTGACAAGGCAACGCTGCCCCTCACGAAGGCCGTACTTGTTTTCCAGCAGCTCGACAAAGTCTCCAACTCCCATGGCTTCGCTTCCGAAGGACACGTGTATGTGAGAGTGGGTGTGTGTGTGTGTCTGAAAACCGAGATCAGAACATGCGAAAGAGCCATGGGTGAGCTTCCTTCAACATTGATGTGTCGCTGGCGTGTCCAGAATCCTATTCCTTACATCATGAACCCGCGACTTTTGGTCTTCCTTGAGTCTTCCCTGGGCCGGGAGCTATTCGGTCGTTCAGAAAAACAGCGGGGACGTCGAGGTCCAGAGTTGCATTTTGTGACACTTCGAAGCGAAGCCAAGTCACTTTGGACACCTTGAGCCCGCCGTAGCACCCGCCTGGCTGCGCTGCCCGTGGTCTGTCCGAAGAGATCCCGGGGCTCGCCGTCTGGGACTGGTCCCGCATCGAATTTCGGGTTCCGACTGCCGCACACGGACACTCCAAGCAGGAAAACTTTTCGGGCGTCGCTTCAACTCTCACAGCTTGGCGATTCAGGTTTAGTGTAGGCCTGGCACCTCGCAGGGAAGTAATACGATACGTGTACTAGGAAACCACATTTCAGGACCATGCTCAATGATCGTTTCCAACCACGAGAAGACCGCAATTCCTCATAGCCTTGAAGCCGCTCCGGTGCATTGGACCGTCTAAGTTTGCAAGCAGCACTCGGCGGCAGGTCGGGGACGATGGGCCCGCTCAGCAGGCTGTGGAGCAGCGACAAAGCTTGCACCTACGCAAACTTCTGTTGGGCGCACGGATGTCGGGGATTTTGCCGGAGTCTTTTGGCTCTGAAAACTGCTCTTCGATGGGTTTCTGGGGTTAGGGGTTCAGTCGCTGGATATGGATGGACCTCTCATCTGCTCGACTTGTGAGCAAAAGGGTGGCTCTGCTGCTGGCTCTCAAGCATTAGGGCTTCAACCAATGATGGCCTTTGGACGAAACGGTATGTCATGTCATATGCTGGCGAATCAATAACTCGCGATTGCGAGGACCCTGATGGATTTTACAGAATTTTAAGTGTTCTCAGCGTTGTTTGCTCACCCTCGGTCACCAAGAGGCGCCAAGCATTGCAACTGTCCACAACAGTCATCATCAAGCCCCATAGAGTGTCCGAAGCAGCATCGGCGCGATCATGGTCATCATCATCATGGTCACCACCATCACGATGCCGCCTTCTCCTACTCCCACGCCTACTGCTTCTGCTGCTGCTGCTAC